GTTCTGGAGAAGGTTGTCAGGCCCCATGGGCCCAGCCCAGCCCTGAAATCTGAAGCCCAGCCCAGCAGCAGCCGTCCACAGCCTTCTGGGTCCCGGGGCCAAGGGAGCTCTGGACCCAGGAAACAAAGCTGGGGGTGTCCTGCCTCAGACCAGCATGACCCCAACCTGGGCTGTCATAGGGTGGCAGGCTCTGCCTCCAGCCCTATTCACTGTGCTAGGAAAATGTTTCTCCTTCCACCAACTTCATGCCCAGTGCTGTCGCCAGCAGAACTCAGCCCCGCCTGCACAGGGACGTGGGCCACTCATGATAGTGAGGGACTGCGGCCCCAGGGCTGGCTGCAAGGTGACTGTCCTGCCAGGTACAGCCATGGAGTGTTTGCTGGGGCACCTAGCGGATTCTGGGCCCAGCACTGCGACACTTCTTCAAAGGAACCGCTCTTTGCTTTCTCTCTTTCTGCAGGAGCTCATTTGAATATTGGAATGCAGATTTTTCTTTTTTTGTTCCTTGTCTTTTTTTCCTGGTGACATTCTGAGCCAGCTCTGGGTGCATCCTGATGAGCTCCGGGCTTGGGTATAATCCGAAAGGCTCCAAGGCCACCAATTTGGAATAAAAGCCAACTCTGATTTCCTCGCCTGCAGGGACAGGGCTAAATTGGGTCCAGGACCCAGGTGGCAGGAAGGAGAAGGGACAGGAGAACCAGGGATATAGCTGCTGTAGTTTGGCTGCAAATGACAAAATCCAACTCAAAAAGCCATAAGGGAAAAGATTATTTATTGTTGCCCATGACCAAAGAGTCCAGGGGGTGGGTTTCAGACAGAGCTGTATCCAGGTGCTCAAAAAACAGCTGCTTTTTCCCCTCTGTCTTTTCCCTGCTTTCACTTTATTCCTGCAGGAAATGTCTCCCTAAGATCTCCCTCTGCAGCTCCAGGCTGCTCTCCTGTGCTCTCGTCTACTCCCTAGGGGGAAGAGGGGGTGGCCAACAGGCCCCCAGGATTAGCATCACGACCTGGTGCAGGCAGTCACGGTGGCTGAGCTCACACCAGCACGGGTTGACGTCATTTAAGTCCCAGCTCTGTGGAGAGTGTGGGAAGGATGGAAGGGATGGCCAGTGGGTCAGTAAAATGGCAGTCCCCTGCAGTTGCAGCTGGGGGTCCCCTGAAGCACCTCGCCCTTCTTAGCAGTGCCTTGTTAGCAGTGCCTGAGGGGCCCAGGCGGGGTCCTGGGGGGGACCGTGGGCCTGGGCACCCTGACCCTGAGCTCTGTGCTGTGGACTGGGGCCCTCCCTGCCTTCGGCCTTGGCTGGGAGGGGGCCTGAGCCACCCCCTTGTCTGGACCCCCGGCTAGCAGCTGGCCCGCTGCTGCCCGTGTGTCCCTGCTCTGCCCTTCCCCCCAGCAGTGTCACCCTCACAGCACCTTGAAGCTGAAACTTGTCCTCCTGGCCTGACTGTCCCCTGCCTTGCCCTCACTTTGGGGCTCTGGTCCCCCGCTGGGCCTCTCCTGTGGTGGCCAGGGGAGTGGGCCTGGTCACCCAGTCCATTTTACAGACCCCAGGCTGGGGGTTCAATGTGGGCAGGTTGGGCTGGGGCCCGTGTGCTCCCACACACGGGCGGGTGACATCCTCCCCTAGGATGGCACAGTGGGGTAGTCTCTCTGGGGCAGGGGACGGACCCACGCTGGGGCTGCCCTGGGGGTCTGACTGCTGTGCGGGCTGTTCCCCTGTGTGGCTGCTGCCCCGCTCTGCTCTGGGGGTCAGGCTGAGAGGCCTACAGTCAGTACCCTGGGCCTTGTCAGGGCCCCCAGAGCCTTGGAAACTGAAGCCTGGCCACATGCCCCGCGCCCCACACCCTTGCCCAGACACCTGCCCATCAAACCCACCTGGCACATCCCCCCACGGGGCTCCATGCCACCCTCCCTTCCCAGAAGCCATGGGGTTAGTTCAGGCCTTCCCGCTCTTGCCTGGGCTCTTCTCAGAGCCCGACGCTGGGGCTGAGAACAGGAGTGTGTGCGCATACATGTCCCCGTGTGTGTGCCCTGTGGGCAGAGCCTGTGCCCTTCAGGGTTGCCCAGGGGGCTGCTTCCTGCACATAAGACAGAGCGTGGCCCCAACTTGGCACCTCTGTTTATTCCGAGTCCCTAAGGCTCAGGGTGGCTCCTTGGGGAGCCCATTCCTGTCATGAAACTAGCAAATGAGCGGCTGGCTTGGGGCCGGGGCCTCTGGCTCTGATTCATGGGGACATCACCTCAGTCCTCAAGAGAAGCTGCACCAGGGGCTGGACCAGGGCTGTGAGCCAAGAGCGGCAGTGCTGGGTTCTGACTAAGGACCACAGAGGAGTCCCAGCCCCCAGCCCCAGCCCAGAGACCTGCCTTCTGCAGGGGCACAGCACAGCCACCGGGATTCCCCACGGCTTCGGGGAAGAGGGTGCCTGTTATCCCAGGGTGACCCCCATGCTCTCCCAGCCCCTGCCGGACCTCACCTGGACCTACCTTTTCTGGGCATTGCATAATCCTCTCACATTATCTAAATTTGCTCTGATTCAGGCAGAGTTGGAAACCCCCATGTGATGTGAGGTTCATTGGGAGACTCCTGTCCTGGGGCTCCTTGGAGTCTGTCCTTCAGTGAGTCACCTGTGTATCGTCCAGAAGGGTGGTCCCAGCCTTGCTGGAAAGAGTAGGGGTCTAGAGGCCTGTCCTATCCTCCCAGTGCATGGATAAGGGGGCATGGAAACCCTGGCTAACAGGACATGCATCTGAGGGTCCTCTGGCTGTAGCACCTCCTTCAGGCATGGCTGGGTCAAGGAGTCTGGACACTCTCATCAGAGCCTGTGTCTCCCAGCCCTTGGTTCAGCCACGAGCCCCATTCAAGGCTCCCACTGCCTAGCATGGCCAGGCAGACATCCCACAGCTCACAGCCCCAGGAGTAAATGCAAGGCCTCGTGCCCAAGCCCAACCATGGGCTGACTGATCATCCCAAAGTGATGTAGTGATGTCCTGGGTCCCGGGCATGTGCCGCTGCCTGGGCCCAGGGCTGGGGTCAGTCTGTGGGTGAGGGTCCCTGTAGGAGGATTCAAGCTGTTTCTGGAAGACAGGGGTGGAGGCTGGGCAGAGCACCAGAGGTTCACCAGGGGGCCACGTGCATGCTGTCTGCCCTCGGAGCCTATCTGCACAGGTCCTTCTGGAGGGTGTTCACATGCCTTGTCTCCTCACACAGCTCTGGGGAATCTGAGGCTTGGAGCGACCTGTTAGCAAGTGGTAGGGCCTGGACTCACGTGGAGCTCTAGGATCCATCCTGGCTCTGGGCCATCTGCCCAGACCACCTGCACCCACCTGCTGCCAGCACCCAGGGGCATTTCATTTACTGAGCACCTACTATGTGTGGTTTGGCTAGGAGTCCAGAAATCTGCATAGTTCCCGAAGTCAGGGAATGGGTGGAGGTGCTAGGCTAGCTTTGTCTCCAACGGGTGCCTTGGAGAACCCTGGGAAGCCTGCTTCCCTCAGCAGGAGTGGCATGAGCAGTGCCCTGCACAAGGCCGCTCATCCTTCCCGAGCGAACCGGCCTCCTCTCTCAGGACATGTGTGGGCCAGGGCAAAATGAAAGTGGGCTCCTCCCTGGAAATTATTAAGAGTTTCAGGGCAGCACTACAGAGTGGTGAACTGAGCCTCACGGGGCTGCACAGGTGGCCCACTTGTGCCTCTGAGTGTGACACCCCCGGCCTGGGCACAGTGCCGCCCTCGGGGCCACCTGGTGCCCTCTGCACAGTGACCTTGGGGCAGGCCTGGCTCGGGATGGCTTTCCCCTCCCGTGCCTTCCTCTCCCAAGGATGGAATGGGAGGAGCATGCCTCCTCCGCAAGAACCCAAATGCCCGGCTGACTTCCCTGGCCTCCTGACCCTGCCTGCTGGAGCAAGAGTGCCCCTACAGAGAGGCTGGCGGCTCCTCAGGCCAGCCCCTCCCTGCTGCCTTGGCACCCGTGCCCACTGATGCCCCTCCCTGGCATGTTTAAACTTTGCCCCCCTCCCACCTGTGCCTGGCAGCCTCCCTGGTGTTACAGCTTAGCCAGTGGCTCCAGCACTTAAATTTAACCAGCCCAAGCTGTCTTTCCTCTGTGTCTGGTCCCCACACTGCACTGCGGTGCCTATGCCCACACTCCTCCCACTGCACATGAGCCCCAGCAGCAGGCTGAGAGAGAAGGACCAGCACCCCACCCCACTTGTCCTGGGGTTCCTGTAGCCCCCTGGACCCATGCCCACTTAGGGCAGAACCCTGGTGCCCAGCCCAGGGTCAGCAGAGCAGCAGGTGCCCAATAGGCATAGAAAGAAGCAAGTTGGGGTGCCAGCAGCTGGGGTACAGCTGAGAGGGATGCACAGGGCTGAGGCTCCCTGCATGGCACCATGCTGGGGAGCGTAGTAGGGGCACAGGCTGTGTGCGGCATGGGGTCAGAGGCTATGACCTGGGAGCCTTTCCTGGCATCTGGTGCTGCCCCTTCCTCCCAGGCAGTCATGGGAAATTCGCCCTTGAAGTGTTGTCCATGTCTCAAGCCTGGGCTGCAGGAAAGTGGAAGCCAGACCAGCCTCAGGCTTCCATGGCACCTGGTTTGGGAAAACCTTCCTTCAGAGGGTGATGGAGCCATGCAGCTGCAACAGATGCTCAGAGGCACTCAGCCCAGTGCTGGTCACGCACAAGCGCTCAATAAGTGCTCGGGCCGAAGCTAGAAGTGGGCCCACGCTGACTCTGAGCATGGGAGTGGGGCCCCCCGGCCTCCCGTTCCTGCCTGCGCCGGGCTGTCGCTGTCCCACCCTTGCCCTCTGCTGCTGCGCTGCAGCCCGCTCTCTACCCGGCCCTTCGTGGGGCAGACCAGTCTTCCCTGCCCATCTCCTCCCGCAGAAGCCAGGGGCTGCGGGCCTGAGTCGGGCAGAGTCAACATCGGAAAAGCTGGTTTGCAAAGTTGCAGCAGTGAGAAAGCTGTGGGGTAAAAAGTTTATATGAGGGGTACAGGTCTTTCTTTTGGCAGAATTTAATGGGTGCAGATTGCTCAGGTCCCAAAGCCACGGGGAAAAAAAGAGAAAAAGCCCTTTTGCGGCTGCTATTGATAACTTGTCTCTTCACGTGGTGGGTTCAAAACTAAAAATACTTCCCTCCGACGATAGGGAAGCCGAACGTCACATTGCAGAGAAGCCTTGAAAGTTGCCGGGGAGGGGCAGGTTCAGGCCACGTGAGGGCCAGGGCCGGGCCGTGGGGGCCGGCCACCTTCCGGGTGCCCAGGTTGTATCCATATAGAAGATTCCCAACCTTCCACGGAAGGGAGGGAGGACTGTCCTCCAGCAAGGCCTGGGGCGCAGACAGCAAGGAGTGAGCCTCAGGCAGGGCCTCCCCAGGGGCAAAGGCCAGGTCAGCAAGGCTGGGCATCCGCACTGCTGCACATCTGGCCCTGCTGGAGCTAAGTGGGCGACTGGCCGCAGACCTGGATAAAGAGGTCAGCCTGGGCAGAGAAACCCTGGGGAGAGGTGAGAATGCAGCCAGGCAAAGAGCATTGCCCCTCCCGGCAGCGAGGCCACAGGCAAGCCACTCGGCTCTCGGAGCCTCAGTTTCCCCATCTGAAGGGGGCGAGTCGTCTCTGCTTCCTGGTGAGATGGAAGGAAGGGCCAGTGCATGTGAATGTGCTTCCTGAGGATAAAGCCAGGGCACTTGCTCCCGCACAGCTGGCACCTCCAGACCCCAGCCCACCAGGCTTCCTGCCCACAGGGACAGCTGGCCACTGCCCAGGGGGCTCTGCCTTTCTGATGAGCTCCTCGGCCCTGCCCAGCCCCTGGTCCTCAAGGTGGCACTGTGCCCGGGCCACTTCCTTGCTGCAGGCTGGGGCGAGTCACTGCCTCCTCGAGGCTCAGTCTGCTCACCTGTAAAGTGGGAATGATGACACATAGTATCTGCTTCAGTGGGTGTTGCAAAAGTGAAACTGGGTGAGGCACGCAGGTTGCCACGCACCGGATAATGCCGGCCGCCACCCTCTTCCCGCTCCTCATCATGGTGACCGCATGGCCCCGGATCCTCTGTCTCCCTTTCTGCTCTTGTCTTCCATTCCATTCCTGGAGAATTTTGCCTTTGGAATTGGCCTCTTGACCTCGGTGAAAATCATGAAAAGCCCTCCTGAGTTGGTCCAAAGTCACCCTCCTTCCAGCTGAGAGGGATTCCCGCGCAGTCCCAGCCTCAGGGACCAGGAAGGAGGAAGCAGCCGCTGGCCCTTGGAGCCCAGTTTACTGCGTCTGCTAAAAGCGGGTAAACCAGTTCCCCAGCTGCAGGGCCCCTTCGGGATCAGACCTACCCCCTCCTGAGGCTGGGGTGCAGAAGGCCACACTCAGAGCTGCAGTGGCCTACTGGCAGACAGGAAGCTCATTCCAATGTGGCCTCTCCCCTGGCTCCAGTTTTCTGATGCTGCGCTTACCCAGAGTTCATGGCCAAGGGGTGGGCGGGTAGGTTGAACCCCTTAGGGGCATGTGCTCTGCACAGAGGTCAGAGTCTTAGAGACTTATGGGGGTGAGGGGCATGGAGGGTGGTGGTGGGTTTCCAGGACCCAGAGCTGGACACCAGCCAGGTCCACAAGGGAAGCTTTGGAGCATCTCCGTGGCAACTGGCCTTGTCCTTGTCCTGGCTTGGGGGCCTGCACGCTGCACCCCTCCCTTGCCTGCTGGAGTCGGTTTCTTTAGAGGTTACCATGGCAACGCCTTTGTTTCTGAGGCCTGGCCCTGTCTCCCGTCTCCCTCCCGGTTCCTCTTCAGCAGAGGCTGGGAGAGCTCCTTCTCAGTCCCAGCACGTCTGCAGCCCCAGCAACAGTGGGCTCGCCGGTGAGCTGGGGCCAGCCCCTGCCACAGAGACCCTGTCCTCCCAGCCTCATACTTACAGGGCACAAGTGTGTACAGAGGCTACGGGGCCTACAGGGGCAGCCAAGGCCTGTACCCACCGACCTGTGTGTCACCCCCCCTGCCCCCCCTTGCTGGAAAAGGGAAACATATTCTGAGGAGGGAATGCAGAGGCCCAGGTGGCTCTGGCTCTGCAGAAGAGGTAGCAATGAGTGCCCCATGGTCCCAGGTAATCTGCTAGCACCCCTGGGGTTGCGGGGGCCTCGTACTCTTTGGTTCCACCTCAGTTGGCTTAAGCAGAAAATAAAATGAAAAGTCTAGGGTGGCGCTTACTTGAGGTGCAGCTGGTTCCAGGTGCCCCACAGGGGTCGGCTCTTGCTTTCCTCTGAGTTGGTTTCATTCACGTATGCCCCCTCCACTGAGGGTGGCAAGATGCCTGTCAGTAGCCCCAGACATTCATCCAGCTTTCTATCACCCAGCCCAGTTGTGGGGAGGTCTGTGGGCAGATGGGAGAGCCATTTGCCCTCAGCCTTCCCTGTGGCCTGAGGGCTCTGACCCCACCCCCAGCAAAAGTCTCAGGCTGGCCCAAACTGGCCAGGGTGAGTCATCTGCTGGCCCGTGAACCACCCGCTGTGGCTCTGAGCAGCCAGCCTGGTTCATGCTCCTCCACCCAGACCAAACCAGACCCATGATTCAAATGGGATGAGAACAGGAGAAACCTGGTTTGCAAAGGAAAATCAGGGTGCTCACACGCTCAGAGACGTAAGATAACTTGCCCAAGGCCACACAGCCGGTAAGGGTTGCAGGCTCTGGACCTGACTCCAGAGCTTCTGAATTTAGCCACGGATCACTAGTCAGTGGGAGAATCCAAGGGTTCTAAACGGGGGAGTGAACGGTTTGGGATGCAGCCGGAGAGTAAATTGGCGCCGGGTTTTAGTGAGCGGGTGAATGGCATGCCAAGGAAGGTGGATGCTTGATCTGGGGGAGATGGCTTCGGGAGGATGTTTGGGAGGGTGGGTTGGGCGCCGCGGGCGCTGAGCCACGGCCCCGCCCTGCGTCGCGCCGGAGCCACCTGACTTGCTGTTTGTAAACTCAGCTTCCCCAGCCACGCCCCTTCCTCCCAGTCTCCCGCCCCTTTCGGGTCAACATCTGCATAACCCCGCCTCTCATGCTGTGATCGGCTGACCGCATCGTCACTCAGGCATGGGCGGGACTCCCGGGGGCGGGGGGAGGTGTAGCTTTGGCGAAGTGATTAGCATAGCTCCGCCTCCCGGCGCGGCTCGGGCCTGGCGCTGATTGGGTGGACGGTGGCCGACGCGACGGCGCCGAGAGCAGCGAGTGGCAGGCGCGGGCTGTCAGTCGGCTGGGCGGCCGGCCACACTTCCGCCTCGGTGTCAGCGGGTCGCGCGCCTGCGGGGAGGGGGCGGGGGCGGGGTGGGCCGCGAGGCTCCTCTGGCGCCGGAGAGACACCGTCCAGGTGAGTGGCCGCCGACCTCGACCCTGACCCGGCGACGGCGGGGAGCGGCTCCGGCCTCGGCGGCGGGCGGCGGGGAGGCCGGGCCCGGGGCGCGCCGGTGCTTCGCGTCCACCGCCCGCCGGCCAGGCTCCGGCCCCAGCCCGGCCGCGAGGAAACTCAGGAGGAAAGTTGGCGGCGCGGACGGGGTCCCGGTGGGCGCCAAGACCCCGCGTCCCTGGGCAGCTGCGCCCGGGCCGCCTGCCGGCCTGGAGGCGGATAGGGGCGGGCCGGCCCTGGGTCGGGGGCGCGGGGCCGCCTCCTGCGCGTGGCGCCCGCCCGGGGCGCTTTGTCTGGCTCGCGGCCGGCCGCGCCTGGTGAGCCGGAGGGTCGCGTCTCCCCGCGCGGAGCAGGCGTCAGACTCCCGGGCGGACGAGGCTTCCCGGCGCGGCAGGAAGCCGGTGGTGGTACCGTCCCCGCGCCGTCACCTCCCAGGGAGGGGCTCGCGCGCCGGGCCCCGTCCTGAACGTCGCCGGGGACCAGCCTGGCCGAGCCGGGGGCTCGTGCCCAGTGCCTCCTCGGGGCGGCCGCGCGCATCCGGAGACGTGGGCTCGTTCACTCTGGTTCAACAGACTTTCTGGAACGCCCCGTGTGCCCGGCCGCGCGCGATGCGGAGGACTCGGCCAGAGGCGGAGGTGTCGGGTGGGGGGCGCCCTGCCTGCCCCCCTCGCCCTGGACACGGACTGGCGGGGGGCGCCAGCGCCCGGCACGCAGGGGCTCCGCGCCGTCGGGAGCTCCCTTGCCGGGGTGAGGGCAGGAGCCCGCTGCGGCACTTCCTCCTTGTCCAGCGCGGCGCCTGGCACGGGTGTTGTCATTTGAAACAGGACCACGGGACGTGGATGACCGAATCTGCCTTAGAATGTACCTTTCCTGTTTGCCTCACACTTCCTTCTGTCAACAACAGCTCTTACCTAAACGATGATAGTATGTACGCAACGACTGTTCCGGGTCAGCCGTAAGCACGTTCTATTTTCGCTTTTTTCGTGGAGTCTTCCCAGCAGCCTACAAGACAACCCACCCTGGCGGCATCCTTATTCATGAGGAGGCCGAGGACCAGAGACTGACTAAACTGACTCTAAATCACACAGTAGTAAGTGTGGCTCGGGAGCTCACCCTCTTAAATACTCCTCCATAGTGCCTCTTAAAACCAAAGTTTTCATTTACAACGTCCTCTTAATGTTTTTCCTTAGAACGTTCTAATTGTGCAGCATTACCATGCGCCAGCTGTGTTTCTTGCAGCAAATATAACTAATAGATTCGCATTTTCTCCGAGCATGAATGTTTATAAAACCATTTTATTTCTCCCAAAATAAAGTAGTTCTTCACCTGATTATCCAAGATTTTGTCAGAATACTCTGCCCGCCGCCCAGTTCCTGGGTTAGTAGTGAAGTGGCTGATGTTCGGAGTGTGAAAAGGGTAAGCTTGAGGAGCAGGGGTGAAGCCGGAGGGCACAGTTTGAAGTGTGAGGTGGCAGTTTTGGGCTCAGTGCTGAGCGAGCCCTCACTGTGCAGTTAGCCGTGCAGCGTACGCACAGGGCAGCCTCTGCTCCACTCGCGTGCATGTAGAGGGTCGACTCTTAACTCTAACACCTGATGGGCAGAGTTATTTAATATTTGGAAAGTGCCCCTTGACTTGCAACCTACCATCTCTTAACCGTGCCTTCAGGAAATGCTAGCAAACGAGTTGGATATGAACTGAAAGCTCACTCTACTGTTGACATTTTATTACACTCATCTAATTACAAAAGTGGCGTTTTTCTCTTTGTTGGGAAATTTTTTTTTTTTAACTTTTTATGTACTCTTCTACCATTTTGAGGCAGGGTGTTAGCTGTCTCTTGAAAATGTTTTCTCTGGCATTCCTGTGAAAGCCATGGCCTGTGTTTTCCTAAGGGTTTGGCTGCAGTGGATATGAGGCATGTGGATGTGGGGCTCACGTCTTTGAGCAGAAACAGTGGTCATGGTCCACAGTGGCAACCTCTTCTTTCAAGAGTTTAAGACTCTTTCTGAAGGAGGCTTGGGGTAGGTGAGGAGGGCACGTCTGGGTGACTCTGTCTCTCTGACTTTGATGGGAGGAAAGTTACTTATCTATTCTTACCCCCGGGGTCTTTGCCAGGAAAATGGGTCATTGTGAGGAGTATATGTGGAAGTGTAACGGAGAGTGTCCGGTTTAGACGCAGTTTAGAAGTGAAGCCCAGGAGATCTTTGGCAGGCAGGTTTTCATTCTGTTGAAATGGGTTCCAGTAATACTTTCAAATTATGACTGTTCAGGTTAGGTTGTACTTAGAAAAAGACCCCTGGACCCAAGATGGTCCCTGTGACTCTGAGGAGTGCCCTGGACAGTGGGGGCGCTGTGCTCATCCCTGGTCACTGTGCCTCCCGTGGCAGGTTGTCATTTGATTTAGTTTAGTACTAATTCTCAGACTCAGTTCCAAAGCATGGTGTATTTGTGGGTGATTTATAGCTTATTGAGACGGAAAGGAAGTTAGTATCTGAATACAATTGGCTATTAAAATATACTTAAATCCTCGGAATATTTTAGGTTCTAGTTTGACACTGTAAATGCAGTTTCCACGTACAGTGGTTAATTTGTGTCCCTGCTGTAATTTCACCTTTTCAAAGTGTCTTGCTCATAAATCTCAGGTGTTGGGATACAGCTGTGTCACACTCTCGTTGGGGTCAAGCCCTGCCTTAGAAGTGTGGTGTGGCGTACCGCCCGTCCTGCAGCGTCCTTGATAAACCAGTGATAACGTGGTCACTTAGACCTGCCTGTGACATTTATGGAGCTCCTTTCCTTTTCTTTCGAAATTCAGAAAAACCTTAGGGTCATTCGGCAGAATTTCAAAGCATCACCATCCTTTCCCTGGATCTTCTGGTGGTACAAACACTGTCAGCTCTGTGCTGAGGTGTCATCTCTGGAAATAAGACTTTAGGAAGGGCTGTATTTGAGAACACGGATGTTCAGAGACTTTTGCCTGATGTATATGTGTCTCTGCGCTTGTTTTCTCCCTTTGCTGGTCAAATACTTGCAGGTTTATTTTGAGATATGAACTCTGGGATCAGTCCTGAGTTTCCCGGCTGCATGGCCTGGGGCCTGGAGAATGAGGGGCAGTGGGAAGGCTGCACACCTGTGGAGGCTTGCAGAGCCCGTTGCCGTCTCCCAGGCAGCATTCCGCTGTGCCTCGTCTTCTGCTTGGTAAACCACCCTGTTGTTGGTGCGGGTGGTCAGCAGTGGGCACGGTCTGGGTGGCTTTTGGGTCGGCAGACCTATCTGACCTCTGAGCTCATACCTTTACGGGAGGGGCAGGACCACCAGCCTTAAAAGGTGCCCAGGCTGGTTGGGGGAGAGTGTGGCATGAGAATGGTTGCAGGGAAGTTGTATCCAATCCAGCTGTCGGGGGGTGGGGGGGCATGGCTGTGACACACAAAGTAAATGCTGTGTGTTTCTCTGAACAATCGAGAGGCTGATCAAAGGCCAGCCATGAGCAAGGTCGCTTGTAACCCAGCACCTTGTGCCATGGTGCCTGGCTGGAAACTGACCTCCACTGTCACCTTAAACCAGGGAGACCGTGGGATCTGCTGCCCAAACCAGGACCTTTTGGAGCATGGAAAGGAGCCCCATTAAGGATTAAGCAGTGACGGGACATAAACAGGGCATGGGGTCACCTGTCAGACACTGGGAGGGAGGGGAACGACTAGGCCCTCTTGTCCCTGCCTCAGGAAGTCAGGCCCTGAACACCTGGGTTCCAAAGAAACAGTAGCTGTGGGGGGCGGTAGAGCAGGACGGAGGCACAGGTACTGAGGGGGAGGAGGCAGCGGGTGGGGTCCCTGTCACTCCCCAGGCGTGGCCGAGGGTCCTGTCTCAGAGGATGTGCTTTGGGCTGCGTGCTGAGGCTTGCGAGGGCAGAAGCTCCTTGATTAACATCAAAGGGTTTTCAGCCCTGACTTCTCATGAGAAAAACTTGGAGAACTTTGTAAAAAGTACAGGTTCAAGGGCCCAGCCCCAGATCTGGACCCGGGCTTCCCCGAGAGGGGCCCACGAGGTGTCTGTGCACCCCGAGTCTGAAGCGGCAGGCGTGCACACCAGCATTGCTGTGCGTCCACTGTGGGGTCATAGCCCGGCTGTGAATCACGGGCCCCTTTGGTAACTTAAAGAAGAGTCTGAGTCACATCTTCCTGGGAAAACGAAGTGAGTACAGACAGAATTTGGCAGATTTTCCCTTTTCGTTGCTTTCTCTCTTTTGGCAGGGTCCGGTTCGAAATTTGTGGATTTCCGTCACCTTAGTTTAAATACCCACACCCTCAGGAAGTGTAGTGGGAGTGACTGGGGCGGGGTGACTTGAGGTGGTGCAGCTCTCAGTGCAGAGGAACCAGTTAGGGGCTGAGCAGGCTGGACTTGGGCAGGAGGCAACCCGCAGCACCCGCCACGGGGGAGGGAAGCAGGCAAGGGGCGAGCCTGGCCAGCCGGCCCTGGAGGGGCAGCACTCGCCCTTCTGGCCACCACCGTTGCCCCCTTGCTGCCCAGGGCCCTTGCTTCTGCTCATCAGGATGGACAAGTACCCAGCAGGTGGCCCTCCTGGCTGTGGGGTTTCTGCCACCCTGTGCGGCAGCGGTGCGCAGGGCTCCCTGGGCAGAGCTTTCCTGCGCTTCAGGCTGCATCCGAGCCACTTCCTCCTGTGTTACAGTTCGACAAGGTTGATTGAAACAAAAGTGTTTGTAGGAAAGGCTTCCATTCCTCTCCTGTGTATCTGGAGATACTTGGTGTCAGAGTGTAAGATCATGTTCCCTGGAGAGTGTGTTGAATACTGAGCAGTTGGTGAAGTGGAGGGAAGGGGCTTGGAGGGGCTTTCCCGTGGACGGCGGGCTCCAGGCTCCCACTTGTCAGGTCCTAGCAGGAAGTGTGGCTCCTGTGGCCGCTCCCTGGGCCTGGTCGGTTTGCCTCTGCCCGCCTTTCAAGGCCACCCTGTTGGCCTGGGCAGTGGTAAACAGCCAGTGATTACTGCGGTTGTTTATGTAGTGTGATAGGTTCATTTACCTTCCTTAATTCTAGGTGTCTTGCTGAGCCCCTAGCAAAGTCACAGCCCTGTGCGGTGACTGGTGAGTGTGCTCGGCTGGTGTGTGTGTCGCGCAACGTCTCAAGTCCGATCTGTGTACTCACCAGAGTGAAGAGCTGAGATTGGCCGTCTGTGAAGCTGCTCTAAATTCTGTAGAGTGTCACACAGCTGATTTTGTGAAGAAACCCGAACCCAGCAAGGTCACACAGGCGAGGGGAAGGTGAGACATGGTGGGAGCCGCGTGGAGGAAGGCACAGGGCCTGCGCCCTCCAAGCCGTGGACAGCTGGGCGTCAGCACATTCCTCCCAAGCACAGGGAGCCGGTGTCCAAGGGCCCCTCTCCGTTTCCCGTGTGTGTGAGGGGGCACTGTAGGGGGCCGGCCGGACACAGCCGCATGCTAACCTTTCCGAGCGGTTTGTTGTGGGTGAGTTGGGCTTGTACGGCGGCCCTGCCGCGGAGCAGCCCCGCTGCAGGCATCCTAGGCTCCGTGCTTCCTCAGCAGTGAGCAGAGGGCTGTGTTGGTCTGAGGAATGAGGAGAACCTACAGGCTGGGCCTGACAGCTGGTACTGAGCCCAGCAGCGCGGTTTTTGGATGGCTGCCGCCCCAGGCCGCACGCGCCTGGGCTCGGAAGGGAGGCCAGGAGCACCTGCCTGCTCGACTGCTGCCTCCTTCCCATGTTCCTACTGCCACCTGGCATGGCCACTGGGTCATCAGTGTGGAAGTCCCTGAGGTGTCTCAGCCCATTCTTCCAGAAACCACCGCCACACGTGGCAGCTGGCTAGGACCGAATTCAGTTAGTAAGCATTACTTAAAGGCAAGCATTCCCCTCCTTTCCCACCCCAGCCACATCTCCAGTGCCCAGACTCACCTGCGGCCGGCGGCTGCTCTGTTGGACTGAGCACATCAGAGTGTTGCCAAGGCGGCAAGGCCCTGCCGCGTGGTTCTGGAGCCTGTGCAGGCCGAGCCTTTGCGCCCACTGATTTTGTTTTTTGTGTGCAGGAAAGAAACTGGGAATGGTGGCACAGAGGGCCCCACTAGGTCCCCACCCATAGAGGACCTGGGTGCCTGATGGCCCTGCTGTTGCATGTGGACATCTGAAACCTGGCGTCCACCAAGGCTACTCGGCTGAGAAGCACTGCGCACCCTCAGGGCCCTGCTGTTGTGGAAGGGGTGCGGCTCAGTGAGGCCCCAGGCCCCGTGGCTGTGGGCCCCTCCGCCTTCCTTAGGAGGGGCCAGGTTGAGAGAGCCCCCAAGCTGCCCTCCAAGGCCGGCGCTCTCCTCGGGACATGTCAGTGTCCCCGAGCAGCCTGGGTTCCTTTCTCCCATCCCACCTCTGTCCCTTCATTCCTGTTGAGAGTTAAGGGTTTCAGATTCTGAGGCTTTCATGCTCATAGGTGACACTAGTTTCACTCTCTCGGTGGGCATCCCAGGGAGCAGCCCCCAAGCCCTGGGGGAATTCCGTGGGCTTGTGGCTGCAGCTTTGGCTGGTGCTGTCCCTGGTCTCAGGCCCATCAGGGTTCTCTGCTCTGTTTCCGGAAGTGTTTGGGTTTGACCTTGAGAGCTGCAGGGCGGCGAGAGCCCTACAGAGCATCGCTCTCCCAAGGGTACGGTGGTGGTGTACCCAAAGACAGCAGGCGCCACGTGCTGGGCCCTATTTCTGACTTGTTCGTGATGGAGACCCAATTCTGTGTTAGTGGCTTGAGCAAGTACCCAGTGAGTGAAGCTTGCCTTGCAGCCTAGACCCTCACGAGGCCATACCTGCGATTCCTCTTGGGGTGATGGCCCTCTGAGCGTGACCTCTCAGGGGCGAGGGCCCAGGCCTCATTGAGTCCTTTCTCTGTGAGCTCCCTGGTCAGTTCTTCCTCAACCCCTACTTGTTTCACAATCTGCCTCCCTTCCTGAGTCACGGCCCTGCACAACTGTGCGGCCGCCTGTCTCGCCCAGCCAGCTGTGATTCGCCGTGGGAATGAACCGGAAAGTCAATGGTGCATTCCTTTGCACCGTCTGATGGAAAAATGCCCCTTGGAACCCCCCGTGCTCTGTGGGGCCCGGGGCTCCTCCGCGGGAGCATCCTGTCAGTGGGGATGTCTTTCGGGTCTGTGCATCATGGTTTGTTTCTTTGTACTGCTTACTAATTATTTTTTTCCATTTTAAAAAACTGTGGTAAAATACACCTAATGAAATTCAGCCCCTTACCCATGTGTAAGTGTGCCATTTTGTGGTGTCAAATACATTCACACTTGTGCAGCCACCACCACCATCTACCATCTCCGTCCCTCTGACCATCTTTCCAAACTGAGCTCTGTCCCCCTTGAACGCCACGCCCCCTTCCGCAGCACCCCCCTCCCCCCTCCCCCGCCACCACTCCTCTGTCTCTGTGGGTTCGGCTCTAGGCGCCTCCCGGGGTGGGGTCGCACAGTGTTTGCCCTGCGGTGGGTGTCTCGGCTCACTGAGCACAGAGCCCTCAGGGCTCACCGTGTGGTGGGTGTGTCGCAGCTCCCTGCCTTCCTGAGGCTGATACTGCGTGTGTGTGCGCCCCGCACCTGGCTCATGTGTCCATTTGCCGAGCAGTGGACACTGGGGTCGCCTCCGCCTGCTGGCTGCTGCCGTGAGCACGGCGCACAGGTACCCCCGGAGACCCTGCTTTCAGTTCTCTCGGGTTTATACCCAGAGGTGGAATTGCTGGATCACATGGTAACTATTTTTAATTGAGTAAATGCTGTACTGTTTTCAACGGCGGCTGCGCGATCTTACATTCCTACCAACAAAGCCCAAGGGTGCTGGCTTCATGTCCTTACCAGCACTGACTTATTTTTGATAGTAGCCATCCTCGGTGTGAGGTGGCGTCTCATTGTAGCTTTGGCTTCTCATTTTCCTGATGCTCACAGGTGTCGAGCATCTCGTCACAGGCTTGGCCACCTTTGTCTTCTCTGAAGAAATGTCTTTGCAGCCCTTTGTCCCTTTTTGAGCCAGGTTTTTGTTATTGTTGCTGTTGAGTTTTAGGAGTTCTGCCTTGTGGATACTAATTCCTTATCAGATGTATAATTCACAAATTTTTTTCTTCCATTGTGTGGGCTGCCTTTGTACTCTGATGATAGTGTCTGATGCACATATTTCTAAAATTTTCATAAAGTAAGGCCAGTTTGCTTTTTTACTCTTAATCGCCTCTGCCATCTTACCCAATAAATCATTGCCAAATCCAGTGTTGTGCAACTTTTGCACTTATGTTTTTTTCTAAGAGTTCCATAGTTTTAGATCTTACATTCATCCATCGTGAGTTGATTTCTGCATATGGTGTGAGGTAGGGCTCCAGCTCCATTCTTTTGCATATGGATGTGCAGTTTTCCCAGACCACTTACTGAAAAGACAGCCCTTTCCCTCCTTGAATGGCTTGACACCCTGGTCAAAAATCAACTTGATCGTGTATGTGAGGGTTTACTTCTGGGCTTTTTATTCAGTTCCATTGGTTTTTATGTCTGTATGCCAGTACTACTCTGTTTTGATTACTATAGTTTTGTAGTGAGTTTTGAAATCAGGAAGTATGAGTCTTTTACCTTTGTTCTTCTTCTTCAAGATTGTTTTGGCTATTCAGGGTCCCTCAAGGTTATGTATGAATTGTGGGATTTTTTTTCCCTATTTCCACAAAAGAAAACATCATTGGGATGTTGATAGGGATGGTACTGAATCTGTACATTGCTTTGGCATATGTTCATGGCATAGGCATCTGAACAATATTAAGTCTCCTAATCCCTCAACACAGGATGTTTCCATTTACTTATGTCTCCTTTAATTTCTCTCAACAATGTTTTATTGTACAAGTTTTCATTTTACAAGTCTGTCATCTCTTTGATTAATCCCTAAGTATTTATTTTTTTTTAGATGCTATCATAAATGGAATTGTTTTTATAATTTCCTTTTCAGATAGTTCATTGTTAGTGTAGAGAAAGGCAACTGATTTTTGTGTGTTGACTTTGTATTCCACTTCGTTGCCGAATTTGTTAATTCTAACAGTTTTTTGTGGGTCTTTAGAGTTTCTGTATGTAAGATCATATCATCTGCAAACATAATTTTACTTCTTCCATTCCCAATTGAATGTCTTTTATTTCTTTTTCTTGCCTAATTACTCCGGCTAGAATTTTCAGTACTATGATGAGTAGAGTTGGTGAAAGGAGTCACCCTTGCCTTATTCCTGATCTTAGAGGAAAAACTTTCAATCTTTCATCACTGAGTATGATTTTGGCTGTTAGGTTTTCATATATAGCTCTTACATGTTGTGGTAGTGTCCTTCTGTTGCTAGTTTGTCAAGTATTTTTATGATGGAAAGGTATTTAATTTTTTCAAATCATTTTTCTGCACCAATTGAGATGGTCGTTTATTTTCTGCTCTGTTAATGTGATATATATCATCAAGTTTCATGTGCCGAACCATCCTTGCATTCCAAAAATAAATCTCATTTGGTTATTGTGTATAATCCTTTTAATATGTTGCCAACTATGTTTTAATGTGTTCAGCTTCCTAATATTTTGTTGAGATTTCTGCATCTGTGTTCAGAAGGGCAAATGATGTGAATTGGCTCCAACTTAAAGTCACCAGTTACAGCCCCTAGTAAGTCAGCATGTCCTTTGAAGCTTTGAAACCAGGCACTGACTCTCTGTAGCTCTGAAAGCCCTGGGCAGCATCTTCTTCCAGCATAATGCTGTTTCATCTACATTGAGAATCTGTTGTTTTGTGCAGCCACCTGCATTAGTTATCTTACATCTTCTGGATTATTCGCTTCAGCTTCTACATCAGTTACTTCTTCACCTTGTGCTTTTATGTTATGGAAATGACTTCTTTCCCTAAACCTCATGAACAACCTCTGCTGGCCTCAGACTTTTCTTGTGCAGCTTCCTTACTCTTTCAGCCTTCACAGAATCGAAGATAGAGAGTGAGCCTTGTTCTAGATTAGGCTTTGCTTTAAGAGAATATTGTGGCTGGTTCGATCTATCCAGACCACTAAAACTTTGTGTTTACCAGCATTAAGGCTCTTTTGCTCTCTTATCATTTGTGTGTTCACTGGAGGAACGCATTTAATTTCCTCCAAGAACTTTTCCTTTGCATTCACAACTTGGCTAACTGCTCGGTGCAAGAGGCCCGGCTTTCAGCGTCTCTTGACTCACTGAGCTGAATCATTTCCAGCTTTCGGTTTAAAGCGAGAGAGAGACGTGTGGCTCTTCCTTTCGCCCGAGCACGTGGAGGCCACTGCAGGGTCACGAGTGGGCCTGGCTTCAGTGCTGCTGTGCCTCAGGGGGAGGCACCCAGCGGGAGGCAGAGAGACGGAACCGTCAGAACAGACGTTTTTGTCAGTCAAGTCCACTGTCTTATCTGGATTTCGTTCACGGCACCACAAAACAATTGCAGTAATAACATTAAATGATCACTACAATACCATAGATCACCACAAATATATAATAATGAAAAAGTTTGAAATATTGTGAGAATTACCAAAATGTGACCCAGAGACACAGAACAAATGCTGTTAAATCAGTGACTTGCTTGATGTAGGGTAGGCCCGAACCTTCAACGTATAAAACACAGTATCTGTAAAGCGCAGTAAAGCAATGTGCAATCAAAGGAGGTGTGCCTGAGTTTTCTTTCTGTGTGAAGATCACATCTGGTTGCCTTGCCTGGTTTTCACAGAGAAGAGAAATGGTGCCCCATTTGACTCTCCTGTGAGCTGACCATGGAGATTAGCCCAGGCCCCTTCGCCAGCCACTTATTCCTAAGCAACCAGATCTGTTTTCTAAGAAAAATGTAAGGATAGGTTTTCCAAGACCTGAGTGCAGTCATTCATACATGGCTGCGGGATGTTCTGTTCTGAGCCACCGTCCTCAGAGTGCCTGACGGGACTGGCAGGAAGGGGGCTCCAGGAGAGCTGTGTGGGGCCCTCTGTGGGGAGTGGGCCACAGCCCCATGGGGCCTGGGGGGGCCTGGGCGTCCTGTGCTGCTGCTCGCTGAGGGGGCTGGGGGTGAGCGCTCACCCAGCCTGCAAGGAGGGGTCCCCGTGTGGGGGCAGTGGGCCCCGCCTCTCTTCTGAGTGCACAGTAAAATACGCGTGAAGAAGAACATATTCAGGAAGTGCTAAATTCTGCCTTTTGTTGATGCTGTTTCCGTAACAGTTGCTCTCTGTGTTCCCACACCTGGGCGAGATGCTGAGTCACACAGCCTGATTCCCTGTTTTCGTGGCGTCCTTACCCAGGAGGGCTCCCCACGCTCAGCCCTATGCTCTCCTCCAGGTGGTGCTGGCTGGACTTGGGGGCTGTGAAGTGCCACCCGGCTCCCGGCAGCTGGGCCCAGGGTCGTGGGCCTGGCTTCCCAGGAGGCATCAGGTGGGCAGGTGAATGTGAGGAAGGACCAGGGAACAGGCTGGGCCAGCGCTCTCCCTCATGGGCATCTGCTGTGCCGCAGGGGAGCACACTGCCCTGCCACGATCACTGCCACTCCCCTGGATGCCTGCCCAGCAGGGGCCATCCTCGGAGCCCCAGCCTGAGGCCTGGCACCGAGGGTTACTTGGCAGATGTTTGTCAGAGGAATGAAGGCGACCACTGTGGTTTTATGCTGGCAGTCTGCCGCAGAGGGTAGCTGTCACCCAGCAACTGAGGAGACAAAGAGCGTGGCCTTGCCCGGAGGGACTTTCAGGAATTGCCCAGAGACCGTGTTGAAATCGGTTCTGAATGTTGCCTGATGTGAGCGAGCCTGGCCGCTGCTGTAGCTGTGTCAGCAGTGACTGTGTGGGGAGCTTGTGTGGCATTTACGGGAAAGGCCTCCCTGGGCAGGCGCAGGTCTGAGGTGGTGGCTGGACTGCATGGTCCGCGTGGCATCCAGGCAGGGCTTCAGTCCCTTGCGGTCCCTGGTTTCAGCCGGCCTGGTCCCTTACACTCTCATTCCAGAGACTTGTCACGGGTTGCTTCATTTCCTCTTAGTATCAGGACGTCCACTATGGGTCAGGACGCATGTAAAGGAACGCCACAGCTCTCAGAATGCCTCTTGTTACAGGAGATTTTAAGCATACAGAGAAGCAGGCAGAATAACACCACGACAGCCCTGTGGGCCTGGGGACGAGTTGGCCACTGCTGCCCGTCTTGTTCATGACTCAGCTCACCCACTCCTCCCGAGTTATTTTGAAGAAAATCCCAGATGTGATAGCATCTCACCTACATGTATTTCCATGTGTAGATATAAAGATAAGGCTTCTTTTAAAAAATGCTATCCTGACACCTGTGCCCTCTTAATGCCCGTTTTTGAGTTATAACTGACAGGCACAACTGCACATATTTAAGGTGTAGAGCAAGTTTTGTATCCGTGTACACCGTGAAACTCGCCTCTTTTGTCCCGTCTCAATCTTGCTGACGGTTCCCCAGGACTAGTTTGACGGGTGGTTGACGTGACGTGCACACCCACATGCCCGCCAGCTGCTGTAGGCGTCCCCCCCAGCTGTTTCCTTTGTGCTTTATTGGTCAGAGAGATGGGTTTTGCCCAGCGGACTCCCCGTGGCCGGGATGTGCCGGCTGCCCCGGTGAGTCCAGCGTGTCCCTCTGTTCTCTGCTCCTTACCCTGGTGGCTGAAGCTGAAGGCTGGGTCATGTTTGGCCTGATTTTCTTGGCAAAACCACCCCAGAGGTGACGGCACACTCGTCCACCGGGAGGCGCCTGGTCCCAGGATGGCGGCAGCCGTGGGGGTCGGTGTTGTGCTGTGTGCTGCTCACACACCTTCTTCACGAATCGCGGGGACACTTCCGTAAAGCGACACAACCTGCCCTCAGGTTCAGGCAGCCTGCACAGGGCAGGAACATCAAGGCTGGCGCCTCCCCCGTGTTTACTAGTCTTCAGAACAATGTGTTGGCATCACCTAGTGGTGACCAAGTAATTTCTTCTTCGGCATCTCTGTGACCTCGGGGACTTCAGTGGATTGGATGTGTTTCAGCCCCTTGCAGTTTATCCGAGCTTAAATCACCCCCCGTTCTTGCAGCTGGAGCCCCTGGGATCCACCCTGTGCTGTTCAACAGCAGCTCTGCTGTTGGGAGACCTCAGTCCCGGACTCAGCTGTTTCTCCTACAGGGAACCCCACTTCGTTTCGGTGGCTTCTAGAGGGCAGAGCCAACTGCTGGATGTTAGAGGTGGGACACGCAGGGGCAGAGAGGAGTCAGGAGTAGCAACTTATCTGCTTCGCACAGGAAGACAGGGCATGGCCTAGTGAGCAAGCTGGAGCATGCTTCCCAAAGCTGCATGGTGCCCAGCTCTGCAAGGCGGTCAGGAAGGCAGCAGAGCAGGACAGTCTGGAGGCACCCCTCTGGGAGGAGATCGGCGACCTTGTCTGCCAGTCTGTCTTTAGTGCAGAAGCTCGCAGACCCTTGGGCGGAGTCCAGGGCTGAGCCACTTGGCGGTGTCACCAAGCACCACATAGCCATTCCGAGGCCAGGCCCCTGCCTGAGGACCACATTCTCCTTCCTGCCCTCAGGACTGGGAGGAGAAGTCTGGGCCTCCATCCCTGTGTCGCTGACATAATAAATACAGGGCTCTGCTTATTTTCACAAAGTCAAACCTGTGGGGACCAGGCTGGCCTTTTGTTTCAGTCTTCCGCCATTTATGAAATAGCCGCTCTCTGCCACAGCTGGAGTCGATGTGAGCTCCTCCGAAACAGTGCGCCAGAAGAATTTTGGGAAAATTCAAGCTGATTTCTGTTCATGCTGAGAGTAGCTTACACAGCAGTCTTAATTCTCTAGGATTGAAAACTGGTTTAAAGTTGATGTGAAACAAATATCTTAACGTAATTTTGCATTTATTTATAATCACCTATTCAAGAGTCTGGTAAAGATTCACAGCGACCTTTGGCAGAGCTCGCGGAGATGTGTCCAGCCCCTGACGTCTGAGTGCCTCCCTGAGACTGCCTTGCCCGTCAGCCTGCCCACAGCTTGCCCCTGACTGATCATCTTGTTGTTTTCTCATACAACTGTAGATGATGATTTTTAAACAACTCTTCAAATAATGATGCCCTACGTGCCTGTTGCTCTCTGGTGGATGTCTGTATTGTGGGTGGTTCACTGATGTTGGTGAAATCATGCCTTTGTTATGAGATCATTTTGTTTCTTTGCTCAGACATAGTTGAGATTGATTTCAAGAATGGTGAATGGGCATTTGAAAGATGTGTTTAAACCCTAAGATTCTGGAAGCTAAGTATGCCAAAATGTTTTCTTTCCCTTTAGATCTCCAGTGCCTATTGGATTTTTACCTAAAACAAAGTTCATAGCATAGAGTTACTTACACTTTCAATGTAGATCCAGTACAATGACTCCGTGAAAGGCCAGGCGGCAGAGGAGCCTGGCTACCGAAGGATGAACGGCGAGGAGGAGTTCTTCGATGCCGTCACAGGTGAGTGGGAAGAGGGGATGATTCGGGGACACAGTGCGACTCCAGGTCCGGGTCTCAGGCTTAGCCCTTGGGATGTGAGGGTGGCTCAGGAGAGCCACACAGCGAGAGATGGGACGTGTCCCCAGGTACTGACTTTTAGTAAAAGCATATGGCCTATCCAAGATTTGGGTCCAAGGCCTTACTTTGGACGATAAGAGATAACAAGAAAGGGCCTCTGGGGTTTGGTCTTTGAAAGGGTTACCCTGGGGTATAAATATTTGGGTCCTAAGTAAGATATAATCTTATAGTATTGATACATAATAATCAAAACATTATTGTCCCATAATAAGGTGTGTTTGCACCACTTAAAGTGCACCAAGATTACGTGGCTGTATGCGCTTCACGACAGCCTTTACCGCCTCGAGTTCAGCTATTCTCGCTTTCACATGGCCGGTTCATGTAGTGGTCACAGCCTGTAGCTGGGGAGACAGGAGTGTTTGTCTGACCGCACATAGCGTGTTGCGGGGCCATGTGTGCAGCGGGGGCTGGGGGCCAGTGGAGCTGGGTCAGCGCACTCGCTCAGAACATCACTGGGAGGAAGCCCTGAACGCTCGAAGGAACACGCGTGCAGTGACCCCAGGGGGCCCGAAGACCCTTGGAGCTCAAGGCAGCCGTGCTGCCCACTCTCCATCCCCCGTGACAGCATCTGGAATGTCACTTTGTTTTTTTCTGTAGAGGATGTTTCTTGGTGAAAAAGAATTTCATGAGACCATCCAAGTCCATTCCTTCCTCCTTAGGTGTAAGACTAGAAAAACAGTGACTTTGAAATGTTTCCCTGGTTTTTACTGATGATCTCTCCGAGTGCAGTCAGAGCCACTTCTGTTAGATCACCCCAACGGCGTGGCGCCCAGCCCTGTGAAAGGGCCTTTCCCCGATGCTGTGACCGTGTGGTGGGCTGATGGACAGCCACCATGCTTCTCCCAAGACAAAGAATTGTAGCAGGTTGATGGACCGGCAACCCAAGATGATCAGCTTACGCTTGTCTGAGACCCAAGAAGCAGGAGGCTCTGATCTGCTCAGGTTCTCCAAGGCTGAATTACGAGTTGTCTTTCATGAGCTCAGAGCTGCTCTGTGCCCCTGGGAGACAGGCTTGTCTCCTTAACCTCACACTCACCAGTAATGTTTGCAGCTGGAGCCCCACCAGCTGGAGTGGGTGTCAGGGAATCATGTCCTTGTGCCACCTGGCCCTTGCTGGCTGACCTTGTCTGTGGCCAGGAGAGCCGGCCAGGGCATGGGCCTCTCCTGTGTCTCATGTCCAGTCCCCTGCCACATGGAACCTGTGTGCCCCACTGTCCTGACATCACTTGCTCTTTATGCAGCGCGGTGTTTGGACGACCCCCATCTCCGCTTCTGTGCACAGGAGCACTTCCCTGAGGTGGGGGTATAGGAGGCGACTGTCTCGTGGGAGTAACTTCTCACCCCAGCCCTTCGGTTTGAAAACAAGTAATTTAACAGAAAGAAGAAAAGTGCTGAGGCTCCCAAGGCAGTGAAATACCAGCATAAAGTGCAGGATCCCGGCTGCCTCACTGTCTGTAGACTCAGTCTTACTTTGTAGCTCTAACTCAGGAAGTACTTAAACCCAGTGGTTACTAAATGAGTGGCTTGAGCAGGAATCACTTCCTCCAAGAATCAGTACTGTTAGGGTGAAAGGTTTAAGTCCATGACACACATGTGCAGATTGAGGCCTAAGAAATTCACATTGCCCAGGTAAAAGGGACTCTGTGAGGGATACGATCACAGGGATCGCAAGTCCCTCCTTGCTCTCTGTATTTTCTTTTTTTCTACAATAAATATGTGTTTATAGTAAAATGTTTAAATTGCTTACATAGCATTGGCTTAATTTGAGACAAGACTTCAGTGTAAGTGTGCTGTGCTGCCTCATTTTCCCAGGCATGTGTCTGGGTTGTAATTTAAATAAGCGTCCTGCTTGTTGGGGTCTCTTGGCATTGGCGGAGGTCTGTGGAGACAGGGCCACATGGTGCAGGGCCCAGGGCAGATGCTGCAGGACGCGGTTTCCCCACGGTGAGAATGTTTTCAAGCTAAGTTTAGGCTGGGGAGTAAGTAGATGTTTCTTTTGGGATAGGTAGGGAAAATGAGAGGTGACAGGCTATTTCAGAAAATATTGCTCACTTAAGAGCTTTGTTTTTAATACGTCCTTCCAAAATCATTGTGTGATATGATCTCAGTACTACATTTGTGAACCTGTCAATACAGAAGAATCTGAAAGAAGGTATTTTTGCTTGTTCTCAGGGAAGCCTGGCAGCAGGTTGTTTTACGTTTGGGTCTGACGCAGTTACCCTCTTGGCCTTCGTTCGCCCTGGGCCCGGCCTTCCTTTCTGTGAGGTCAGGGGCTGTCAGGCGAGCCCTACACTCTGCGTGAGCCTGTGTCCTGCCCCGCTGGCCGGGCGGGGCTCAGCCCAGCAGCCCAGCTCCCGTCTCAGACCGCTCTGAGCAGAACTTGAGTGCCTCAGTGAATTGTGCCGCTGACGTGGAACACTAGTTTCCTGCTAGTTACCTGTTTCTTGGGGAGGAAGCCTTCCTAGTGGAGAAAGGCCACAGGCACAGCCATCAGGACACACGACGTATTTCACACAAGCTCCCAAGGGTCCATTTCCCAGCTCTGCTGGCATGGAGTGCTCTCTGGCTCAGGCCCGTCATTAAGTCCTCCGGCTGCTGCTCCCTGGCTCGGTCCATCCCAGCAGGGTGCTTGCGTGGCATGGCTGCTGGTCCTTAGAGACCGCTCCGGTGGGCTGTATCTAGGGCACGTGCAGAGCAGGGCCGCCAACCTCGTGCCGAGACAGAGCAGGTAGCAGCCTTGAGATCGGCTTGCACGATGAGAGGCAGGGGGCACTGACTGAGACACTGGACACCCGTGTTCTTGACTGAAGGCTGGACTCTGCCAGTGGGCAGCACACTGGGCAGGGGCGGAGTGGATGTTCTCACCTGGAGCTCCCGGAGGCACCCACATTCTCCTGGGAAGCAGGGTGAATTACTCTGAAACGTGCTGATCAGAATGATAGAGCGTCAGGTGCTGTGCTCACATAGCCAGTTCTTGGAGGGCCTCACAGCTCCCAAGTCCTGTGCAAGTTACCTTTCTGCTTGTCTCGTGCAGGCTTTGACTCTGATAACTCTTCTGGGGAGTTTTCAGAGGCAAATCAGAGACACCCTGGAGTGACTCATGTGGACACCCACAAAAGCAATGGGATTGGACGAGTTCGGGAGAAGCCCCTGCGAGAGAATGGAATTCAGAAGCACAGGTATGTTGGCCCACACGTGTGTTTCAGGGCCCTCCTGGGTATCTCTGATCACCCCCAAACATGCAGGAGCACCCACTCAGAGTCACCTGGGCCGGCTCCTCAGGCGCCCTGTTCAGCCAGAGATTTTGAGACTCAGTGCCTCTCTGTGTGGTTCCTGGGGGTCAGCAATTGCCCTTCTTCAATTGCTGTGCCTGTCACCAGGCTGCTGGGGGCCTGGTATGTGGCAGCCTGGCACTTTACACAGGGCCTGGCACACACAGGGCCTGGCACATGGCAGGGCCCACCTGAGTTGTTGATTCATTTCACACAGATCCCCTTGTGCTGTGTTGCGAGGTGTTGGCCCCTCAGCCCTGAGCACAGGGAGGGCAGTTTACACAGAAGACATCCTTCCATTCTCTCCCTACAGCATTTGGTTTCTGTGCAAGTAGATTCTGGTGACAGGGACACAGGTGGGACGAGCGTCTGTCAGTGGAGCCCCAGGAGGGTGGGGCAGGCGGGCCTCCCTCTACCCCACGCCATCTTCATCTGTCTCTGCTTTTCCCCACCCTACTCTGAGCTTCAGTGTAGAGGACGTGCCCACCTCTGGGCTCAGGTGTCCCTTGCACCCTCAGATGGTCCTCTCGTGCCTCCTGCTCAGGTGCCAGTGCGGGAGCAGACAGGGCTCTGCTGACTGGACGTCAGTGCCCTGAATCTGGCCCTGGGCCAGTCCTGCCCCCTCCTCTGGCCCGGGCCCTCCCCACGGTCCGGCTCCCCTATGTTGCCTCTCATGTCCATGTGCACTTGGCCTGCAGAGCCACACCCCCTCACAGGCGCCCACAAGCCTGGCACCGAGCTCCCGGATGGGTGGTTTTTTCCCCTCTCCCTCCTCAGCTGCCTGTTCTCCTCTCCCTCTTGCTCCTGAAATAAGGAGCGTGCCCTGACCGGCTGCCCTGATGTGCTCCAGGAGGAAGGACCAGGTCCCTGCTGGGCAGGAACAGGCGTGGACACCGGAGGGAGGTGGCCCTGCTGTGAGCACAGGAACCACAGATGTGGAGCCAGATTCAGGGAAGCCCGGGCAGCCGTGGGCCAGCCGCCCACATGACCCCACTGCCGGGGCTCTGACTTCCGTGCGCGTGGGTCCAGCACACTTCCCCCGCCAGATTTCCATCCCACTCAGGCCCTTGCTACCCAGACAGGCACAGCTTCTCATCCCAACTCCAGAGTTCCAGGATGGAGACCAGGGTCCCCTCACCCCGTCGTCTGTGGACAGGACCTCAGGGGGCATAATGATTGCTGGGCTCCCCTGTAGCTGGTGGGAGGGTAGCCTGAGAAGGACCAAGCCTCTTCAGACATGTGTTAAAAGGGTTGACAGCTGTTTTCTGCCAAGATTTCCTCAGCCTGGCTCTCTCTAGGTGGCCTGATGGCCTGGTCTCTGTCCGTGGTCCTGAGGCTGCTCCAAGCACCTGTCTCTGCACATTGGATGCAGCCCTGTGGAAGGAAGGTCGTCTGTGTGGCATGATCGTTTCCCAGGAGGTCCTCCAAAAAATCAATGCAGAAACTTTTCTTTGGGACTTAAACAGCAGTCTAGTGTTTTTTTCTCCCTAGGCATGCAGCACAGAGAATGCTAAAGTTTAGATATGAAAATTAAAGGAAAAATTGGTCTTTGAGCAGTCATCAGTCATAAGTGAATCTCATGTTGGAAGAGTAAATACACATCTCTGGTTGCTTCCTGCAGGACATCACTGCCTGCCCCAATGTTTACGAGAAGCGACTTCAGTGTGTGGAGTATCTTAAAAAAGTGCATCGGCTTGGTAAGTTTAGAAACTTGAAGCATAAACATCTTTGGGTCCTGTGAGTGTATTGCACTGCTGGTAGTTTAGGAAAATGCACTTTGCATATTTATAAACACCACTGCAGTAAAGATAATCAAATAGTAAAGGGCCAGTACGTGAGGGCAAGAGGTGGAGAAGCTCAATTATTTACAGACGGTCAGAAAATAGTTCTACAAAGTCTTGACATCAGAATCTTCACATGGGTTTCCATTTACCTTGGGGTTCTGAGATGTGCGCGTAGCCAGCCACCTTTGGGTGACATGCGTGAAATGGGGGCTTCAGCGGGGTTCCTGACTGACCCTCAGGCTGGGCTGCAGGCAGAGCTCAGATGCGCAGAGTTTGTGCCAGAAGAACCTGTAGGGCGATTAGTGTTCAGGAGCCCTTGGCTTTTCCTCTTTTGGCCTCACTGCCTGTGCGGGCCCTGCTGGCCGCCCCTCTCAGGCAGGCAGGGAGCCCCCCGTGCACGGTCTGCAGTGTGCCCGTCCAGGGCTGGCATTTGGTGACTCAGACTCAGGCTGAATGATGTACGCGGAAGCACCAGTTCTCAGAGGGTCACTGTTCACGGTTTCTTAGAGGTTCTTCACCCAGTCTTCTTGTGCTATTGATTTATTCTTAAATTTGTATTGATGTATAGTCGACATCCTTAGTTTCAGGGGTACAGCATAGTGACTTGACAGCTGTGTATGTCACGGGAGGCTCACCATGTCAAGTGTAGCCGCCATCTGCCACCACACAGTCACTGCGACATCATCGGCTATGTTCCCCATGCTGCACCTTTTATCCCCGCGACTCACTGGTTTTGAAGCCGGGAGTTTGTCCCTCCTGATCCCCTCCCCCCCCCAACCCAGCGACCACCAGTTTGTTCTCTATTTATGAGCCTGCTTCTGTGTTTTGTTTGTCTTTCCTTCAGAATCCACACGTAAGTGAGATCACATGGTATTTGTCTCCTTTGTCTGGCTTGTTTCACTGAGGATAATCCCCTCTCAGTCCAACCATATTTTCACAAATGCCAGGATTTCCTTCTTTTTTAAGGTTAAATAATATTCCATTTGCATATGTACCGCATCACCTTTATCCGTTCATCTTATCGATTGACACTTAGGTTGCTTCCATATCTTGGCTATTGTGAATAATGCAGCAGTAAACATGGGTGCATATATCTTTTCAAATCAGGGATTTTGTTTTCTTTGGGTAAATTCCTAGAAGTGGAGTTACTGGGTCATTAGGTATTTCTACTTTTAGTTTTTTGAGGAACCTTCATACTGCTTTCCACAGTGGCTGCACCAGTTTACATTCCCACCAGCAGTCTGGGAGGGCTCCCATTTCTCTGCATCCTCGCTGACATTTGTTATTTCTTGTCTTTTGGATGGTGGCCATTCTGACTGGTGTGAGGTGATATCTCATCGTGGTGTTGATTTGCATTTCCCTGATAATAAGCAGTGTGGAGCATCTTTTCATGTGCCTGTTGGCCATCTGAATTTCTTCTTTGGATAAGTGTCTGTTCATATCCTCCGTCCATTTTTCAATAGGTTTATTTGCCTTTTGGGTGTTGAGGCTTGTGAGTTCTTCATATATTTTGGATGTCAACCCCTTGCCAGATATGTCATTTACAAATATGTTCTCCCTTATTGTAGGATACCTTTTTGTTCTGCTGATGGTGTCCTTTGCGGTACAGAAGCTTTTTAGCTTGATGTAGTCCCATTTGTTCATTTTTTATTTTGTTTCCCTTGCCCGAGGAGATGCGTTCAGGAAAAAGTTGCTCATGTTTATGTTCAAGAGATTTTTGCCTATGTTTTCTTCTACGAGTTTTATGATTTCATAACTTACATTCAGATCTTGATCCATTTTAAGTTTACTTTTGTGTGTGGGGTTAGGCAGTAATCCAGTTTCATTCACTTGCATGTAGCTGTCCAGTTTTGCCAACACCAGGTGTTGAAGAGGCTGTCATTTCCCCATTGTATATCCATATCATATATTAATTGACCATATATGCTTGGGTTTATATCTGGGCTCTCTAGTCTTTTCCATTGGTCTATGGGCCTGTTCTTGTGCCAGTACCAAATTGTCTTAATTACTGTGGCTTTGTAGTAGAGCTTGAAGATGGGGAGCATAATCCCCCCGTCACTTTATTCTTCCTTCTCAGGATTGCTTTGGCTCTTCCGGGTCTTTTGTGGTTCCATATGAATTTTAGAACTATTTGCTCTAGTTTTTTGAAGAATGCT